CGGAGGGTTCAAAATTTGAAATTTGAACGGGGATGTTGGCGCTCTTTTTCTTCGTTAGCCTGGTAGGCCTCCCCGCCATTGCGACTAGACCACGCCCAAGGACGCACGGGCATCCCAGCACCATGACGGACATCCACCCCTGCGGCCGCGTGTATGCGTATGAAATTGGCCGCTGGAGACCTCCAAGGGTTTTCCTTGAAACCCACTGAATTAGGACGCGGTGTACCGACGACGCCGAAAACCGAAAATTTTTCCAAGGACTTCATCCTAATTCCTGAGGATTTTCCAAGGAGGGTCTATCGAGGCCCTATGTACACCAAGATCTCATGGCACAATGGCAGAAAGTTAAAAATCAGCTTGATCTATTTCATACAAAGAAAGATATAAAACAGAAAATTCAACAATCTTCAGGGGACTGGCTGGGCAGCAACAACGGGGGCCGGATCGCCTTCATCAAGTGGGATGGTGGTGGCGCCCAGGAAGGTAACGAAGGTATTGAGGAAGGCAACCAGGGGATGATCGAGAGAGACTATCACATCTGCTTCAGAGATTGGACAATGGTGGATCAATGGAACCCGTTGCGACCACCCTCAGACTTTCCTAATCCCTTCCCTCCCCATCAGCTGACCATAGTGGACATGCAATGGTATGGGGCGGTGTGAGCAGGTCAGCAGCAGCAATAAAGGGTATCGCAAAAGTGAGGGGTGGGAGGGACCAGTGTGAAGAGCCCCCCCCTTCCCCCCCCCCATCATCCTGCTCAGTCAATCCCCTGGATCCCAAGGTAATTGATGCTGGCGGGAATATCCTGCATCTGTATTGTTCTGATATGTTCTGAATTCTGTCTATGTATGGGACGATGGACCCGTTTTCCAGTAGGTGTTGCTCCCCACCAATAGATGGAGCCTCCACCCATGTGCTAGCGGTGTCTGCTCATACCAGCAGCACTAGCACGTGGGGGCGTGTTTTGTATAATAAAAAAAAAAAAAGCTTCACCTTTGTGCAAGTTCTGTTTGTCTTCATTTCCTTCTCAGAAAATACCAGAGACAATTGAGCACATATTTCTACAATGTCCAGGAGCAGTTTGGTTATGAAGATGGTGGGACAGGATTTGGGGTCATTCAGGTCTAACAATACCCTGGCCCTGGGATTGGAAGGCATTGTTGTGTAAAAGCTGGAGTCCAAAGCAGGTGCTGGATACCTTTACTCAAAACCCCTTCACCGTAGGAAAGTCTACGATTTTGTGGGCCTTATGGGACAGGCATTGAACACATGAGATGGAAGGGGCTAGGCTTGATGGGCCAGAATTCACACCCGCCAACTCGGAGAGGAGCTCAAACCTTCCGGGGCCAGGAGGGGGGGGATGTGATTGGCTCATGTCAGCAAGTACAAGAGGCGGGGTGGGGCAGGGAAGAGAGCAACAAGTGGAAGGTGTGGGAGCTAGGGCTCCCCCAGTGTCTATCTTCGGTGGTGGAAAGTGGGTTTCTGTGCTGCTCAGGATTGCGGGGTGGTTTTCTCAGACTTGCTCGGGGGAACTATACAGGTAGTCGAAGCCGGGTAATTGGTCTTCGGGGCCACTCTGGATTGCGGAGTGTTTTTCTCTCAGATTTGCTCATGACTACAGGTAGCCGAACCCGGGTAATGTCCCGGTATTCTGTATGCATTTGCTCGAATCACCCTATCTAGCACCCAAATGGGCCAGACCCTGGACCCCGTGGGCTGGGGAGAGATCCGGGTTGGTTGGTGTTCCCCCGTACTACGCATACATTAGTGAGAGGATGAGATAGATGAGTACTAGCAAGAAAAATGAGATAGATGAGAGAAGAATATAACTTTTTCTTTTAAAAAGAAAAAAGAAAAAAGAAAAAAAAAGCATTAAGCACTAGGCTACCAGAGTGGCCCCGGACCACTTGCCCGGACAGGCCCCAAAAAAATAAAAATTAATAAAAAATAATTATTTTTTTATTTTATTTTTTTCTGCATAACATTGTTTTTTTGAGACCTTCTTTTTTTTTTTTTTTTTTTTGCTAGGACCTGCCCTGGTCCTTGCATGGCCGGGCCGGCGGGGAAAATAGGGTGACCTGGGCCGCCTGGCTGGTAGCCTAGATTAAACCACGAGTACTTCCTAAAGTTGTGCCCGTTAACAAGCCACAATTTTAGGAAACAGGGCCACTATAGGAGCGCCCACATTCATCCGACTAGAAATGTTTCTAGTACTTTATTCTTTCCCGCGGCCGATAGCCGGGCCAAATACTGGTGATAGATATCACATCTGGATAAGAATCAAAAAGTGACAAAAACACAAATTCAGTATCATATTAAGCAATTCTGCATAAGCTGGCTGGGGGGTTCCCAAGGGTGTAAACTAGGGGAAATAAGGTAGAGCGCGGGGTGGAGAACAATCAGGAGGAGGTGCGCAGGAACTACCATATTGTTTTTCATGACTGGATGTCTGTGCTTCATTCTATTCCACTCCGCCATCTCTCAGACTTCCCGGATCCGATTCCACAATCTTCAATGAGCCTATCTTCTTCCCCCGAATACAAAAAGCGGTCATTATAGCTGTAACTGGGGCATGTTTCAGTCTAAATACACCTACAATGACCGTACTTTGTATTCGGGGGAAGAATGTTGTTCCTTCGAGTTGGTATGGGTAGGACTACGGAAGTCAATATGGTTATGGTAGGATTTTCTGGATGTATTTTTCCGGTTTCCTGGTATATAGGCTGCAACAGGTAGAATAGCAGAGCTTCAAGGGCCGATCTGGGCCTCCTACTGAGGTAAAGAGGTATTTCTTTTGGGCAGGAAAAGGGAGGAGAGGGCACCCAATACATAGGTGATGAGGTGCATCTTGTTGTCACAAACTCTCACGATGATCCTAGTTGGACTTGATATTATCCTTCATTGTTTTCCCCTGTTATATATATCGTCACAAACAGAACTGCCCGGTAAACCGTAGGCAGAGAGAGAGAAGAGGACAACAAATGAGGGGCTGTGACAAACTGTTTCGTCGGAGTTTCACCGATTCATTATGTATATATATCGTATATATATATAATAACCACGTGGCCATGCTAGGAGAGATGATAAGGGCACCGCCTCCTAGCAGGCCACCTGGTTGCTCTGGTCTATTGGTGGGGAGCAGCACCTGCTGGAAAACGAGTCCAGCGTCCCAAACTACAATAAAAACTGGACTTTGCTGTGTAAACCTGCCAGCATTGATTGCCCGGGCTAGGAGGGATTGACTGTGCAGGCACTGCGAAAACATAACCCGGTGGCAATATGCCCTGGACGGGTGGCCACCTCTTCAGCCCCTAGCCGGCTGCCAGAACAGTCCTCATTTCGGAATCCCCAGTGGATCCCCCAGTCCTTTTCAGACCACGACCCTGCGTCCCATCTTCGGGCCACCATCTTCCACCCTGCCACTGCAGATCCCCATGCTGCTCCACCGACTCGTTGCCCTGCAATCCTTGAACCTCTGCCTGGCTGATGTTCACTTATGCTGCGCCATACCATTGCATGTCCACCATAGCCAGGTGATGAGGCGGGAAGGGGTCTGGGAAGTCTGAGGGTGGGTGCAGCGGGACCCCCTGGTCCACCTTGGTCCACTCCTCGAAGCAGATGCAGTAGTCCCTCCTGAAATCATCCCTCTCCTGCCCCTGAGCTTGTCCTCCCTCCCATCGGATGTAGGCAATCCGTCCCCCCTTTTCGCTACCCAGCCAGTCCCCTGAGAATTGGTTGATTGCTTCCGTACTGTCCTTCTTCAAGTGATACAGTCTAATTGGTTTTTAACTTTTTCCCACCGCGAGAGGAGTTCTTGATTGATGTACTGTCTGATCATTTCCGCCACGTCCTTCCCTTCTATACGAACCCCTTCGATACGAATGTTACTATACAGTGTTTTCTCCAGAGTGCCCAGATGACGGCTCTCCTCGCTGTCGTAAACATATTGTTCTCGACGGTGCTATCCGTCAGGGAGGTCCACGCCTTACAAAGCAGCGCCCTCCAGTCCCATGGCCAGGCAGAACTGGTATCTAATACGCTCCATATCCTATTCCACCCACGCCATGTAAGTACCGCCCCCGGGCACTGCAGGAAGATGTGTTCTATGGTTTCCGGGATCTTACGAGAAGGGAAGGCGGTGTGACAAGATTCACACCATGGTAACGCCAAGCCCTTTTGTGCCAGGTATGTGCGGTCCACCAGCCAGTTATCAGTGCGGAGGCAACAGTGATCTATCTGCCACTGTAGTGAGGCGAACTTTGTCGGTTTAGACCTCGTGAGTGGAAACCATCGGATAAGATGGATGATATCATTCCCCACATTCAGATGAGACTGACAGTGGACCCTCACAATCTCTCTCAAGTTCACTTTTGGTCGCAGCAGCCGGTATGTGGCCTTCACAGTCAAACTGAATAACTTTATATCCGAACTGGCCGGCATCCTGTGTGGAGGTGTCCAGTGCCACTCCCCCGGGTGGAAGGGGAGTTCTGCAAGAGGCGTCCCTGGATGGAACACGTTCCATTCGTCCTAGTGCCTCGTCACCCGGATCGTGTGCAACTCCTCATTTCTCCACCACCTCACCGCCTCCGGGACGTATCTGGTGAGGATGTTATCCTTACCCTTGTGGAAGAGGCTAACCAAGACTCACCGGCCCGTGCCTCCACCACCACGTTGCCTACACTTTCCGTGTCGCCCGGGGCAGCTACCCAGTCCCCCTCTGCCAGTCGTGGTCCCTTGTGCAGAATGCGCACCCAATCGAGGGGGACAACAAAAATCAGCCTTTCCAGATTCCTTTTGATGTCGTGACAATACCTCATCGGGGCCCCCAGTCGCAGTGTTGTTTTCCAATTCTTGCTTGCCAGGTCCCATATGTCCTGATTCTAACTATGCCTTTCCTGACCTAGCTGCTCCATGGGGAGTCCGAGTTGCGATATACCCTCCCCTTCCTATCGGTGATGTTCCTGTTGCCAAAGAGGGGTTGTTGCATCACCTCTTCCCATCTGATCGGCTGGGCTTTATCCGGCAACGGCAACTGGCGGCACACCTTAAGAACCCGGGGCCAGAAGTCGTCTCTCACCAGATCTCTTCTTGCTGCACCCCGGCTCGGGTTCCTGCCGGCTCGAAGGCACTGTGGTATGGACCAATAGCGGTCCTCCAACCAGGTCAGACGATCTACACCTTGTGGCGCCTGTGGAACCAGTCTAGCAATCTGTTCCAGCGCACGGGTGAGCCATGGGAGTTCTGACGTAAACAACAATCTTCTCACCCATTGTACCATCAGCGCTGTAACCTGGATGTCCAGGTCTAAAATTCCCAAGCCCCCCTTGTTTTTAGGCTGGACCACCGACCACCAGGCCACCATGCTAATAACATTCGGGAGCTCGCTGTTACCTCTGAACAACAGGGCAGTTACTTGCCTTTTAAGCGATTTAAACCAGCAGTACTTGGCCCAGCTATCGGCTGCCGAAAAAAAAAGAGTAGAAACCATAGCTGCGGCGCATTGAGGTGCGCGCCTCAGCGCACATCTGGCGCACCTCGCGCACCGCACCTCATGTGGCACAAAAAAAAAAAGAAAAAAAAAAGGGTCCGCCCAAAAAGAAAAAAAGTGCAAGGTGTCAGGGAACACCCTGCGTCGTGGATATAATTAGGCTAATGGATAAGGCCCTTTCTGAGAAAGAGAAGGAAAGTGAGTTTAAGGCCTCTCTCTCTCTCTCTCACACACACACACACACACACACACACACACACACACACACACACACACACACACACACACACAGAGTTGTTCCACCTTCCCATGCTCAAACCCTGTGGTCCCGCCGATGTGCAACTGTTAGGGTCTCGTTAGACACTCCTAAAAGAATCCTAAAATTTTTAGGACGAGGCCTGAAGGATTTTTAGGATTTTGTGCGGCGTCGTTACACGCAATCCTAAAAATAATCTTTTAGGATTCTTCCTAAAAGGTCTCCCGCGGCCGGTTTTCATATGCGTACTATACGCAGCCGCGTCGCCAATGCCCGTCCATTCCTGCCAATGTCCGTCCAATCCCCGCCAACGGCTACCGTTCGTGGCCGTTGCCCACGTCGACCCGCAGAAAACCTCCGATGTCCGACCACTGACCTGACGGACCGCTTCTGCACCAGCAACTCCGTGTCGAAGGTGCCATGCGCGCGACACAACGAGTCCGTGAAACGCGGGAATCCTAAATTTTTCAGTAGGTTGGGGCCTACTGGAAAATTTAGGACGATTTTGCCTGGGGAATCCTAAACCCTTCAGGACTCTTCCTAAGATCTCAAAATTGGATTTAGGATTGCGTGCAACCAAGACGCAATCCTAAAAACAGGCACTCTTAGGAGTGTCTAACGAGACCCTTAGCATGAAAAAAAAAAAAAAAAACTCCCATAAAAATGGTGCATTCCCCTCAGTGCAATTAAAAAACCAATGTCATTTTTAAATGAAATGGCAGTTACTCTATTGATTGAACAGGCCTTGAACTCGATACTCAGTTATCAAATTGATAATATCATAATAGAGAAACAATGGCGGACGTGGCAGGTTTCGAGTTCGCAAAGGCAAAAAAAAACATGCGCCCACGAAGATATCACGGGGTGAGTTTGAAACGGCGATTCGGGGAGAAAAGAAAAGAATCCATTGGGCTTTTTTTTTTTTTTCCTGTTTCCCATTTGACACCACGGTCGACGCCTGTAGTTATGACACCCAGCCTGACACCACGGCCGTCCATACTTTTCATTGCTTTTTCGAACTCGGCGCCTGTTTTCTTTGCTGGCGAGCGTTAAAGTACAAAGATACCGGCAGGTCTTTAACCACCAGAAAGAGACCACAACAGCTGCATCACCAGCTGAAGATGGAGGACGAGGTGGTGGTGGTGCAACAAGAAGAAGAAGAAGAAGAAGAAGAAGAAGAAGAAGAAGAAGAAGAAGGAGGAGGAGCAGGAGGAGGAGGAGCAGGAGGAGTAGGAGGAGTAGGAGGAGGAAGAGGAGGAAGAGGAGAGGAGGAGAAGAAGAAGAAGAAGAAGGTAAGTTGTGTTTTTATTGCATGCCAATGGCAGTGAATGTTCTGCTATGATCTCAATCTTGTTGGCCCTGATTGACATTTTAACTTAGCCCTACAGGTCAGGACAGGCCCTGTAAAGGGACAGCAGAAGTGTACTTCAGCAGTTGCTGTATTATTGAAGTCCATCACGAAGGGACAATTCATACCCTTGGTTCCCCTAGTAGCTTATATATCCCGGTGTGACAACCGTAGGATACCAAAAGAGGACGCGAAAATGAAACGGGTTAGTGTCTTCGCTATGCCAGAAAAAAGAGCCTAAAAATAAGCAGGACGAACTTATGCACAATGTACATAAATATTATTTGAATTTATTTCATATGCTGTATGTGTGATAGCACAATGTCATATCCAAGTCCAAGATCAACTCAGGAGGAATCGAAGCTGTGACCAACTGCCACCAAAGACACAGATGACTTTAGCAAGCAGGCCTACAGGTAACATGAGCTGAGGTGACAGGGGAATACCCTGTGGCACAACTCGCCAAATCTAAGAAAGGATTTTTTTTTTTTCTCAAAAAAACAAAAAAAGAAGGATGAAATAAACGTAAGTCTACTACAAGCCAGGAGGGAAGGGAAAAAAAAAAACAAAAAAACAAAACAAAACAAAACAAAACAAAACAAAAAACAAACACCTTAAAGTGTACTACTAAGCCCAAACCCTACGAGTGCGATGCTAGAGTTAAGAAAGTACTAAGCCGGACATCTTCGCACCTTAGCTACTAGAGTTTTACAAACATAGGGAGAACTACTACAAGCCGAACCCTAAAGCGAAACTATGAAACTATGTTTGTGCTAAGGAAAAAGTACTAAGCCGGCCGGGCATATTCTCCCCGGTGCTATGTTTGCGCTAAGAAAGTACTAAGCCCCATCTTCTCCAGTGCTATGTTTGTGAACTATGTGCTAAGAAAGTACTAGGCAGACCATCTTCTTCCCGGTGCTATGTTTGTACTTAGAAAGCGCTCAGCCGAACATCGTCTCCCCGGTGCTATGTTTGTGCTAAGAAAGTACCAAGCAGGCCATCTTCTCCAGTGCTGTATTTTTGCTACGAATTCCTGGTGCTATGTTTGTGCTAAGAAAGCGCTCAGCCGGCCATCTTCTTCTCCAGTGCTATGTTTGTGCTAAGAAAGTACTAAGCAGGTCATCTTCTCCAGTGTTATGTTTGTGCTAAGAAAGTGCTAAGACCGGTCATCTTCTTCCCGGTGATATGTTTGTACTTAAAAAGTACTACTCCGAACATCTTCTCCCCGGTGCTATGTTTGTGCTAAGAATGTACTAATCTTCAGTGCTATGTTTGTGCTAAGAAACTCAAAGGAAGTACTAAGCCGGCCATCCTCTCCCAGGTGCTATGTTTGTGCTAAGAAAGTACTAAGCGGGCAATCTTCTCACCCGAAGCTTTGCTGCCTTCCAAGCGTGGACATATCACACCAGCGAGGCCTGCCCAAGTCCCTCACCGCCTGCAACCACACTTGGTTCCAGGACCTCTCTTTGCTCCAGGACCACGCTTGGTTTCAGGACCACACTTGGTTCCAGGACCACTGACACTTGGTTCCAGGACCT